GGCGGAGACCGATCAGGAGGCCAACACACTGACGGACAACAGCACTGACGTGGTCGTCCCAAGTCAGGTGACGGTCGAAAAGCACGCCAAGGTTTTTAACGGACGGGCTCTCCTGAACGGTCTCCCCACCGACCCGTACGCTGACAGGGGATAGGCCGCGGGTGTTCTGACGAGTGCCAAGGAGTAGGATTTCGGTTTTGGATGCATTTAGCTTGAGTCCATGGGCATGGAACCATGATGACAGGGCTTGGAGAGTGGTTTCCATGCGATGGATAAGGGAAGGAAGGTTGCGTTTGGAATCGGATATCAGGATTTGGGTATCGTCAGCGTACTGGGTCACATGAGCGTCCGGCGCGTGAAGGCTGAGGTCGTTGGAGAGGATGGTGAACAGGAGAGGACCTAAGGATGAGCCTTGGAAGACTCCCATGGTGTTAAGAGGGGAGATTATACTGGTTCTTATTACAGACTACGATGGAATATTTTTACAAGAGGCTCATTTCAGGCATATGCAATATGTGCGTTTGTTCGAAACCATGGAATTCACCCCATGACTCCAGTTTCCGTATCTAAATATGTGTTGTGTGCCGCAGACAAGCGGGGTCGGATGCTGCTGCCGTGTGTGTACCAAAAGTGCACGCTGCCCTCGTACCTGATGTACTGCTCGCGGCTCGACTTCACCCGCGGGATCGGCCTGATGGATCCCTGGGAGAAGATGTACGACACGCTCAGCGTGGCCATGGCCACCCGCGTCAGGTGAGTGCCGGCGTCGGACTGACACCTGCTGCGGGGCGTGACATACTACACCGTTATACTGGCACATGAAGTTACATGGCATCTTCCGGGCTTAAACCAATTCCAGTAATTCTTGTAGGACTTAACTCCAACGGACTGCGTTTGAGACGGTCATAACGCTCAGCTCACAGCTGACTGGCGCTCGAAGTGGCATTGTTTTTTGTGGTTAAAATTCCAGTGGACGCAACTTCGTGCGAGCATTAGTGTTAAGAGCTTACGTAGGCAGCATATCGGGCGGCATATCGAACTAGTAGCATTGAACTAAGAACACAATCAGTATTGTTTTGTCATGTAGCGCCACGCATGCGTAGTGGGCTATATATGTATATCCTGTTTGGAGTCCTTATATATCCCTAGCAATGCTCGCCTTGGTCATTACCTCTTTTGGCTAAAAGGGTCATATTCTCTTGGTCTGTAACTCTGATATCGCCGCCTCATCATGTCATCATTTCAGGGCCTCGGCTAAGGAATTTTGACTGGTGGGCCACTTGGGCAGCGACATGGACTGACCTTCGTAGCCATAGCCCCCCCCCCCCCATTTTCGATTTCTCCCCAGATTTCGGCCACTTTGTTCTGCAAAAAAAAACGTCAGGATGGCATTAAAAAATGTAAAAAAACGGGGCTCGACCTCCCCCCCGACTCTTCAGAGAGAGAAGAGAGAGAGTAGGGACCCACAACCCTCTCAGTGGTGATACTCCGGCGGTGCACATAAAATCGCACAAGTATGCACAAAATATTGACGCAGATTATAAAACTTTGGACGATAGCTTACGGCCGGTCGGATGTTAAAAATCAGCGAGCCCTGAATGGATCGCTCGCCGACTAGTCGGAGATTCGGAAGCGGTCGGACGGGATCGGGCGTTGTCGGGTGGATCGGGAGGAATTGTGAACAGCACAAGTGCAACTTTACATATAAAGTGGGTTGTAGCAGGAACCCCAAAAGGGGGTTGTAGCAGGAACCCCAAAAGGGGGTTGTAGCAGCAACCCCAACATCTCTGAAAATGATCATTAAGCCTATTGGTGTCGCATGGAAAAGAATTCACTCAAAAGCCCAAGCGCACTGCGCAACCCTAATATTTTCTTTAAAAAAAACTAAGTTATGTACACTTCTGGTGAACAGTGTCCCAAACTACAGATTTCTCTTGGGTGTCTGAGTGGAAAATTCTAGCCACCCAAAATGTGAGAGTGGAAAATTATCCATTCTTATTCTTGAGTGTCATCTTCAGCCCAAATGAGAAATTTTTGGAACGCTGACTGTGAACGGTTCGAAATTCGTCCAACTGGTCAGATGTGCGACTGCAAGCATCATACCGTTCGTGAAGACGCATAATATCGCTTGCAGACTTCAATCGGCTGGAAGTTGCCGACACTACCTCTAGTTTGACTCTGGCTTATATCGTGTCTATCGGCGAGCCGTCTGAGATGGCTCGCAGGCTTATCCCCGACCGTCTGAACTGGTCTGTTCTTTATTCGTAGTTTTTCTTGTAACCGACTGGTCTGCGGCAGATGCTTGTGTGACTGTAACCACTCGATCGATCGGAAAGCTTGCAAGAACTCTCGCAGACCTCGATTGGCTGGAAGCCGCCGGCACTATCTGTAATTGACAGAGGCAAACGTCTTTCACGATTATTGCATAAAATTTAAAGCCTCGGTCACACTTAAACGGATTGGACCAACGGACGAGAAACGGACGAGAACTGTCAGCGTCCGGTGATGTCCGTTTGTTTCCGTTGGACGTCCGTTTGTCATCCGTTAATATCCGTTCCATGTCCGGTGGTGTCCGGTTGAGCACACCGGACACCACCGGACATGGAACAGATATTAACGGATGAGAAACGGACGTCCAACGGAAACGAACGGACATCCCCCGGACATCACCGGACGCCGTCCGTTTCTCGTCCTTTGGTCCAATCCGGTGAAGTGTGACCGGGGCTTAACCTACGGCTGTCTCAAGAAACCGGGAATGGTGATGGTATTAGGCGGGCAACGACGATCAAGTTCTTACTTTTAATAAATGCAACAATGTAGTAGGGCCTCTGTCTCTGTCTGTATCACAATGTTACCTATGTCGTGATGCAAAATGTGAAAGCTTCGATTTTTCAGAAAATTACTGGTGGGCCAAATCTTTGAGGCTAGTGGGCCATTTCGGGTCACTGGTGGGCCATTTGGCCCACCAGTTAACATGTTAGCCGAGGCCCTGCATCATTTCCTTCATTAGGCTTTGCTCATGGTAGGCATCAACGTGCATCGGCGCCTTTTCCCACCGTCATATCCGTCCTCGAGGTCGGTTTTTTCCGCCGTCTCCTTCAGCCGTCATATTGGATACTCTTCCGGATTGATGTCTTATTGGCTGCCGCCTCCTTTATCAGTCAGACGGAACATAAATCCTCTTGTTCGGTGCCGGGAGGTACTGCGTCTGCGACATCCTGGCGTTTCCATTTATCAGTAGGTACCGTTGCCTCCTTCAGCAATCGTATGGCACCGCCATCTCCTTCAGCAATCATGTGGTACCGCCGCCTCCTTCAGCCGTCAAACTTTTCCGCTCCTCATTCAGTTGCCGCCTCCGTCCGCTGTGTTGGTGACTATGGTAAAGCTCGGTCCCCTGTGTAGATGCCAAGGGTCCAGTCGCCTCATTCGTTCCTCCTTTCTGGCGTTTGGGTCGGTGCCTATTCTCGCTTCCTTCGGCGTTCCTCTCCGTCTTCTGGATCGGTGCCCTTTGTCGCCTCATTTAGTCATCCTCTTCATCTTGGGTCGGTTTCCGTGGTACAGTCGCCCCCGTCACTGCCACCGGCCCCCGCCACAGGTCCATCTCGTCGTCAGTCTCAGAGAGTCGGCCGGCCCCAGCGGCCGCCGCTCAGTCCAAGGCGCGCTGTAATTCGACCTCGGGCGCCCTGGCCGTGCCGCGCACCCCCGTGCCGGCCGCCTGCGAGCCGCCCGAGAAGCCAGCGGCGGCCGAGGCGCAGCCGCGGTCCGCCAGTCGGGGCTTCCTGCGGCGTCTGCTGCCGACCAGGGGGCGCTCGCGCGGCTCAGAGAGCGGCACCGAGGGCGCCCCCACCACGCCGGAGTCGGAGCCCACCTCTGAAACGGATCAGCAGCGGCGCGGCCAGCTCGGCAAACTGTTCAACCATGGCAAGGACAAGCACAAGAACGGCAAACACAAGGCTAAGGCTGAGAAGAAGAAGAAAGAAGCCCTGCTAGCAGTGTGATGATTGTAGCGCGTTGAGTGTTTTGTCTTTGCCTTGAACGAAGTGTAGTGTTAGGTAAGTATAATAGTTAGGTATACAATATGGGGATTTGGGGACTTATTGATGTGTTCATGCTGTATCTACTTCTACTTTTTACTGTCCATTGGAGACTGGTGCTTTGTGGTTCTTTGTTTCTATATATGTACTTCAGAAACCCTGCTATAAAACGGATAGCAGCTCCAATTCCATGAGTCACTTAGTACTTATGTCACAATTTTCAATGGGGTGTCATGCAGGTAACCTGTACTTCCATATCATAGAGAAATAGTTCAGAAATAGCTGTGACTTCCTACATGTCAGTCGCCAGCTGTGCTTTACGTGCGCTCGGTGCTCACTTTGGTCATGTTTACACCCGGTACAGACTCGAGCGGTGTCTGTTTGTGATGCGAGGCGCTGCCGCCAGGCGGCAGGAGTGCGGGAGGGACTGTGGTGACCCGCCGGACGGGCCTAGTGCTTCCTTTGCGTGCTGACGGGTGGCTGTATGTGTATGTTTACGTGTGTTTAAGGTGTGCGTATATATTGCTGAGCGCGGGTGGTGTGCGGGTATACCCCGGGTGGATGTCACCCCAGTCCGCGCGGGGGACTGCTCTAAGACGAGCTGTGGCGAATCCTGTCCCCCTTCGGTCGCCGAGTGATACCGCCTCACTGTGGTGTCAGGTCAATGCACGGCTCCCTTGCCAGGACGCAGTATCGGAGGTATCACACTGGGAGACCAGCCCGGTACACGAGGTCTAGTCAGGAAATTGGGCACAACACCGCGTGGCCTGGACTGTTGAACGCTGTTAGCGCTCGGTCGCCTGCCGGCACTGACCGGGTGCCTTGCCGGCCCCTGCTGTATGCCGAGAGATGTTGGAAGGCCTGGTGGAGAGTGTGGGAGCTGCTGCTCTCGTGAGGTGACTGGGAACGAAGGGACCGGAGCGGGCTGTCTGTGATTTACAGAGAAACTATGACACAAGATGATGGTGCTGTTGGTAATTCGCTGTATTTGCACGTGCGTTACAAGCTGAAGGATATTTAAATGCGTTGCAAGCTGAAAGATATTTAAATATATCGACTTTTCTAACCTGTCTTTTTCCTTTAGTGGAGACAAACCTGTATACTATAAAGCCAGGGCCGCTGAGCTGTTGGGTTGTCCGTCTAGGTCTATTGCTAACTAGTGTTGGGCACCTATTATGCCGCGTTCAGATGGCCGGCAACACGTCCTGTCCGGCCGTGGTGGAGCGGGACGGGGCGGCCTGCGGCGGCGGCTCCGGCTGCTCGTCTCTCGGCGGCTCCGTGGAGCGCGGCTTGGGCGGCTGCTCGGCCACCCGTCGCACCTGTGACGAGCGCTGGGCGATCGGCGGCAGCGACGGCTTGGAGGAGAGCGTCGCACGCACCGTCGAGCCCGGCGTCGACAGCACCTTGCCGGCAGACTCCTTGGACAGGGCCGGAGCCGGCTGGGACGGGGCTGGCGCCGGCTGGGGTGGTGGCGGCGGAGGGGGCGCCGGCGGCAGCGGCGCCACTTGACCGTCGCCAGTGCGAGACGGCTGCGCAGGCGCCTCCGGCTGCGGCACCTCGGGACACAGCTTCTGCACCGCCTCGTTTCGCATCGAGAGCCGCCGGTCGAACTGAGTCGTCTCCAGCTGGGTGGTCAGGTCGTCCCACGTGGACGTGTAGTTGGCTGCCGGAGGTCGGCACGGGTCAGGTCAGGTGAAGGTGCACGAACGGATTCAGAGCGGGACCTACTGGAGTATTTTTCGTTCCAGGGCAGGTCGGGTTCACAGAGCGTGGCTCACACCGCTTGGTTTGGTGTGTGTAAATGAGGCAAACGCGTGCCGAAAGGGTAACTAATAAATCACTTCTAATGAGACGCCACGTCTCTGTGGCTGGTCTTCGCAAGGTCATCAGGCCTTGGCTCCGAGCCCGGCGCGCCGGTCGGGATCGTCGCTAGCGTGTTCGGCGGACGTAAAAAGCAAGGGCGTCGGGGTCGGTCGGTCGGCCGGCTCAGACTTGTCACTTCCTCCTGATCAGAGGTCTCGGAGCTACCCCGTCCCGCCGCGGGGCAGCTCTGCCAGTCTGAGACTGAGTGACGGAAATGGTTCATCTACGGGGTGAAGACGCCTTACTGGCAGATTCATAGCTGTACAGAATGGAAGGGCTGCCTGCGTGTCGTACCTCTGGTTTAGAACGCAGTGCATGTTGTTTGTCCTGTCGAGCATTTCTTTTGTTCTACGGTGTGAACAAACATCATTCAGTTCGATGAGTGTGATGCTTATCAGCCGGGCCTAAGCCTCTAATACTTTTTTTACCGGTGTACCCAGAGGCAATTTACGCCGGTAATTGAAGTATGTTTGCCTGCTAGTGTTGTTATACCTACGTTCTTGAAATTGTTTGATAAATATTAGTATTTGTATCTGCGTGCGACGTTGATGTTGTCCATGCTGCCGACTATCGTTTCAGTTTGCCTTTGCGATCGTATCCTACATCGTAGGGCACTAAGCGGCACAGCGAGCTCATCCTGAGAGATACTTGCTTCTAACGCATAACAGGGAGACTACATTGCTGCATAAGTATATAACACGCGCAGTGGCTGGTGTTTGATAGTCGGCCATTCCAAATGATTCATCTGAATTTGTATGAGGGTGCCTCTAATGTCGATAACCGTTCCGCGTTTAGTGTTATTGGGGGTCGACCCATCTTGTCATCCGTTTGCAGCATTAAAAAAGATATTATTGTTTCAATATCTTACATGAATGAGTCCCAAATACGAATCCGATGTTGAGCGTATGAGCAGGCACTAAAACCTGCCGTTCTGTGACCCAGTTCTGGTGGCCGGAGATTACCCCGACGAAGTGGAGCGTTGATTGTCTTGTTATGGACATTCAGGAATGTGAATGCCCGTTCAGGTCAGCCCATTCGTCGTCCTTGGGCATCGAACCGCTCCCAACGTTTTGGAACGCCCGGTTTACCCGTGTAAAGCTAAACCACGCCGAGAGGAAGCACGCTACTCAGCGCCGAACGACGGTTCCCATGAACGGGGTGATTGACTAATCTGCTCAGTATGTGTTTATCCCATGCCTGTACACTGAGCGACTCCACCCCTACCTTTATAGGGCTCTCAATCTCCAGTTCCGTGACCGACTAAAGCGAGGCCCATGAAAGCCGTCCACTGTGACATTAACTCACGACTAATGACGGGGTGCCGATTTCGGGTCACAGCGCACGTGAAATAGACTCACGGAGGGAAGAGCGATGGTCAGAGAGCTGCACTGCGTTCATCATCAGCTCCGGCAGGTGGGAGTCGATGTACCGGTCCAAAATCGTCTCGTAGGTGAAGCTTGGCTGAACATGGACCTGAAGCTTGCTGCCGCCGCACCAGTTTCCCATGTCTGTCTTACTCGATGGGATATTTCCTCAGTGAAATACGCATAATTTTGTAAACGAAAGTAGTTGACGTAATAGCCAATCATCGTGATAATGGCCGGCGTTCACTCGACATATTTCTTCACGCGGCAATTTGTAGGAGCTGAGCCGCTCTGAATTTACCCGTCGCTAAACCACAGCCGCCGTCGAATGGCCACAGTTCAATGACTCGAATTTGGTCATCCAGTTCGTGCCGCACTTGGCCGGGATCTTTTGCTTTCGACACCCCCGCCAGCCACACGCTGCTGATTGCATGTCGTTGCAACACCGGCGAGCCGGTAGCCAACACATGCACACAAACGCGCGCCGATGGCGTTACCACCGAGCCAAACACCCCCTGATAGAAACGTGGCGTGCAATGAATTACAATTAAACCAGCTCGGGATCGACTTTCTCGTCCCGATTGCCGGCGTGCGCATGACATGCAATTCATTTGAGCAAAAACATTGAAACATGTCCGGCGGCGTTGCGCATTGTGTCTGTCAGCTGCGGCAGGCGTTTTTACATGCATAAATTGAGCTGTGCTATTGAGTGCCAGCGTGTAATAACGCTCCGATCCAGATCGCGAACGGGGCACACCCTTCACTAAAGCACTGAGCGGGCGGTGGGTCTCATCACGTCACGGCGGTCACGTGACTGTCCTTGACCGAGACTGCGCCCCTCCCCGCCGCCCAGCGTCGAGTCTCTCCGCGATGACTGTCGTGTTGCCAGACCTGTTCCACAGCGTCACCCGGTGCCGATTTCGGGGATGGAACGTGACGGTGACGGATTGTGACGCCCGTGACTTGGTTACGCCACGGAGCGACCGAGACTTGGATTTGAAAAGGTCGCCGTCACTGGTTCCTTGCAGGGTGACTGAGGTTTTAGGGGAGATGTCAGGAGACGTGCTCTGGTGGGTAGGCTCACTTTTAGGATGTCCCGAGGCCAAGCCACCGACATCTCTCCTGCATCTCCACTGTACTGCCTCTCGTTCCCTGTCATTGGACCGCCTCGCTGACTCGTCAGCATGTTGCTTGGGCAGATTTGATAGTGGAGGATGGCAGTCACAAATCCAAACAATACGGTGACAGATTATCTGCACAAGAGGACTTCTTTACTCAGTCTTGAATTGGTGCTCCTTCCATGGTTTCCTATAGTCTGTCTGCCTCTGTAAACCATGGAGCGAGAGTGAGCTCTCTGCGCTGCAGGCGCGGCCCGCCGGCCGCTGCGTCCTCCGGCTGCGCCGCGGGCAGTCACTGACCGCCCCAGGGTCTGACGTCACCGCCCCGGGGTCTGACGTCACCGCCGTCAGGTGAAATGGTGGACGTGTGACCGCGGCGGCGCGGCCCGCCCTGGCCCTCCTTGGCACCCCTCCCCCTCCCCTCCGGTCCCCGTCGGCGAGCTGCAGCAATACCGCGGATATTGTGAAAGGAGCCGGGGTAGCCGGCCTTTCAACACGGCGGCCTGCCGCCGGGGCTGGTCACGTGAGACCTCGCCACCGCCTCGAGTCGGATCACCCACAATCCGACTAATAACAGCCGGATCACCGACAATCCGACTAATAACAGCCGGATCACCCACAATCCGACTAATTACAGACGGCCGCACATTTCGCCGGGTCCGGCGCATACGCGGCCGAGCGGACCGCAGCGTCTGCCGCTCGCCACACGTGGACAAACAACTCATCAACTCATCGTTCCCAGGTCACTACGTGAATAATAACCACAATGAAAGTGATGCATAGTAAGCAGAAGGTTATGTATGGGTGTCTCTCAAAGGGACGCTCGCAGGCATCCCCGCTTTCCCCTTCGCGTTCCTTTCTGCATCGCTATTTCGGGCTGTCCAAGCCGGCGCAGCCAAACTAGTTTACCATTTGTAATGACGAACGGAGTACACACCTGTGGATCCATTCCAACACGTGCTTCTGCTCTGTTAACTTGGCATGTTTTTCTACCAAACATCAGACAAGTCTCACACTTGTCCATCTCGGGCGCTCCCGTCTTTAGCTCGGAGCGGACCGAAGAGTGTCACTATGAGTGATGTGAGCGGCGGCGCTGTGTGGGCGGGGGCGGCGGAGCAGCGGTCCCGGGTCAGTGCTCCTCACCTCACACCGTCCCGCCTCCGCCCACGCCGCTCCGGGCCGCCCGCGAGCGCCTCCGCCTCCTCCGTCCAGCGCTCCCAGAAATGCGGAGCTCCTGCCCGCTCCAGTGGCGACCTTCCTGGCCTGCTCATGATGTCGCGTGCTGGCCAGCGGAGCGCAGAGGGTGACATTCCGGGCTGCTGAATGAGGGGCTAGCAGGATAACTGCTCCGGATTTCCACCGGCGACCGGAACGGCCGACATCCGGGACCTCAATGTCAGGCACGCGTTTAGGTCGGCTCATTTTCCGACCGTTAAAATGACGCTGTTATCTGGAAGTACCGGGGCTGTTTATAGTGTGTGCATTGTGAGAGTGCACGGCAAGGCCGTGAGAATAGCTGTGACAGATTGTGATTGTGGATACCGATCCCTCCCAGTTTATTCAGGGACGATTGCGGTTGGAATTCGCAGCCGGCGGCGCCCTGCCCACCCGGTGTGGCCGAACATATGCTCCTGACAAGGAAGTGGCGCCGGTTTGAGTGATGCTCTGGCCGAACACGGTACGCTGGACGTTTACCGCAATCTGGCGTCCAAATTCACCCGAATTAAGGCAATCATCCGGCTGATATGTGCTGGCTCGGCTGGCCGCTGCTGCCATGGGCAGAGCGGCGGAGAGCGCCGCGGGCAGAGCGGCGGAGGACTCGCTCCGTCATCTGTCCTTCAGTCGACCTCCGGCGGCCGGCCGGACTCGGCGATCGAGTGGCTCCGAACATGGCTGGAGCGGCTGACACGCGCCCCCACGGCGCTGAAGGATGCAGATAGATTCCTCCGATCAGACGGCGAACGATCGTGCCGCAGATGAGCCGACTTTGTAACGAGTTGACGTCTTGTAAAAACACGGATCGGTGACAGGAGCAGTGCACTTTTTAGTTTCTTTGATTACATACTGTGCCCCGGCCTTTATTTAAAAGGCAATGGGGTTAAAGAGGCAATGAAATGAGGTCACACACATTAGCGATTGTTTTCCAGGCTTGACTTTTCGTCATACGAGCGTTCCTGCTAACTGCATTTATGGAAATTATCTACGTCGTCTGCACCCTTCCATTACATCTAATTAAATGCAAATCGGTCGCTGCTTATTCTCAGGCACATTAGGTATAGCCGAAATTTGTTCATAAGCTGGCAAATGACTCACGCAGCGTTTATTCCGGGCGGAGTGGTGTGGTATGAATTCGGCTAGTCACATACTTCCCTTTATACCTCTTCGCTCATAAAACGAAGTGGATTTATTTCTTTGCCTTGATTCGGCTCACCCATTTATCGCCGAGCTGCGAGTCAGACCGCGCCGGCAGTGGGTGACCGCCGATCCGGCCGCATTGGCCGAGCTGCTTCCTGGGCCGCGGCGCCGCGGAAGCCGCGGGCCCGGCCCGGCCTCTCGGTCTCACGGCGGGTCACGGCGGGGTCACGGCCCGCGGCGCCAGGTCACGCCGCGGGGTCGGCCGGGGCTGCAGCGGCGACCATCAGGGTCAGACGCCGCCCGCCCGTCCTGTCCCGCCTGTCCCGCCCCGCCCGTCCACACTCGGCGCCCGGCCGGCCGCTCCATATGACGGCAGGTGCATCGCGGATTGGGATCTTTTTATTACTTACCAGTTGTTATGCTGAGAGCAGTTTTGGTAATTGATACGATCCAAGATTTATCCATGTAAAATGCCGCTTACCACGAACTTACCTCTCTGAGCCTGGTCCTTTACCAGATAGGTAGGTAATGGCCGTCTTCACTACGAGTTATCTGGCTAATGCACCAAACCTGACCAAATTAACACTAAAGGCCGCCGTCCACTGCGACGGAATTCCGTCCGGAGTCCGTCCGGAATGTCGCCGCACGCTGGCCGCATCCGGTCCGGATGCGGTCCGGATGCGGTCCGGATGCGGAGAGCTAATAAATGTTTCCTATCACTTATTACCACATAAAATATTGCAAGTAGCCAGCAGCGAATACTCTTGCCATTCTAAGGAAATAATTTTTACTTACTTCATGATGATCGAGTTCCAATTCTTCGTACAATTCACAATGTTTGCCTCCGATACGGCCCCAAACCACGTCTGTTCCGGACGTTCCGGATGCGTTTTCCGCAGAAAAGTTCAACGCGTCGGACATCACTCTTCCGTCTCCGTAGCAACCGCATCCGAAACGCATGCGGAGAGCTGACGGAAAATCAACAGCTGATTGCCGTTCGGATGCGGTCCGGACGGAGCGCACACGATTTCCGTACGGACCGGATGCGCCCATAGGGTTCTGTGTTAAATTCCGTACGGACCGCACGCGTTCCGCACAGTGGACGGCGGCCTTAAATCTCTTTTACAACAAACAGCTCCATATCATGAATTTATTTCAGTGTTATAAGCGAAAATAATGTCGGATAATTTGAAAAATCAGGTATGAAAGCTGCTGTGCAACCCAAGCTGATAACTAAGAAACACAATGAATCTAATTTAACCAAATATGCATCGAATCTGCAATAAATGTGAACCAAGTGTGTACGGGGACCCGCAGTTGCTACTGTACAACGACCCTGAGTAAGTTGTTCCAGCACCCTCACAGGGAACAACGATAAGCTGTCAGAGGGCACGCACAGAAAACCTCAGCTGCTCTTGTACAGGGACCGGCAGTCGATATCAATGTTATCGGTTGTTTCTGGACAGGACAGACGGCTAGAGTTGGGGATCGTGTACAGTAGCAACTGCGGGTCCCCGTACCAGATAGCCGTTGTGAAAACGGACAATGACTGATATGTGCGTTCGCGTTTCCTCATTTTTTAATGTGGAACATGGCAGTTTCCATCGTGTTATCCTCCGCAGTGCATCCCCAAATATCCAATGTTTCCTAATCCTCATAAACGTTTAACGATGCTCATTGTTGTTACAGCGTATATGGGCACTACATGTCGAGCTGCTAGTACTAATAACAAATGTGAGCTCTGCGCCTTTTGAACTGAGAGAAAAGTGTGAATGTTTTATCGACAGCGGTCAATAATTAATCGCCCCCAGCGGCAGGCGGAAAACGCGGCCGGGAACGGAACCCGTGACAAGCGCATC